TTATAAAACTGCTTGAAAAGTCGGGTACATTGAAAAACCAAGTGTCTTTGATCATGTCTGATAATACCTATCATATAAAACAACAATGGGAAATGGAACTCAATATAATTTTGGATGATGTCACATGGGAGAGTGTCTGCTGTGGCTGCCACAGAGGGGCGGGTAGTCAAATGTGGAAGGAATTTGACTGGAAGGTTAAATTAAGGTTTTTTAGAACTCCACTGAAAACCTTTCTATTTAAAAATAGATAAAGAAAAATGATAACAATTCACTGTCTCAAACCAGAAACACCCACAGCTTTTTTTTTGTTTTTTTTTTTTAAGAATAGAATAGCCTTTATTGTCATTGTACAGAGTACAACGAAATTGGAGTGCCACTCCCTTGGTGCAAGTTTCAATAATAAATATAAATGTAAAATATAAAAAGTACAAAAAAACAATCGTGAGTACTCAAACAATAGTATGTACAATATATACAGGATAGCAGCATTAATATAATGACAGTATGAATAGCAGCATAATATAATGACCGTGACGGTATGGAATAGGTTCAATTGTTTTTGTGCTTATTTACTACGGTGATAGCTCTGGGAAAGAAGCTATCCCTGAATCTGTTTGTCCTGGTTTTATGTGACCTGTACCGTCGGCCTGACGGTAATAGTTCAAACAGTTGGTTGCTGGGGTGAGAGTGGTCCTTGATGATATTGCCAGCTCTGCTGAGGTACCGAGAGTTTGCAGTGACCTCCAGGCTGGGCAGAGAGCAGCCAGTGATCTCTTGTTGATGATGATACTTTCCTGTCCGCAGCTGAGCACCCTGCATACCATGTTGTTATGCCGTACGTTAGGATGCTCTCTATGGTGGCTCTGTAAAATGTCACCAGCAGCCTCTCCTCCAGGTTGTTCCTCCTGAGCACTCTCAGAAATTGGAGACGCTGCTGGGCCTTTTTAACCACCGCCGTGGTATTTGCAGTCCAGGAGAGGTCATCAGAGATGTGCATGCCCAGAAACCTCATGGAGTGTACCCTCTCCACACAGTTCCCGTGGATGTAGAGTGGGGCCGGGTCTGCTCTGCCCTTCCTGAAGTCCAAGATAAGTTCTTTAGTTTTCGTGGTGTTCAGTTGGAGGTTGTTAACTGAACACCACTCAGTCAGTCTGTTGACCTCATCTCTGTAGTCCGACTCATCTCCCCTTGAGATGAGTCCAACCACTGTGTGTCATCCGCGAACTTTATGATGGTGTTTGAGAGATGGGTAGGGGAGCAGTCGGATGTGTAGAGCGTAAACAGGAGGGGACTCAAAACACATCCTTGTGGAGACCCGGTGCTGAGTGTGATGGTGCTGGACCGGTGGGGTCCGAGTCTGACAGACTGTGGTCTATTTGTCAGGAAGTCCTTGATCCAGAGGCAGATGGAGGTGGAGAGTCCCAGGTGAGACAGTTTCTGGACCAGGATCTCCGGGATGATATGGGTGAATGCTGAGCTAAAGTCCAGGAAGAGCATTCTCACATAGCTTCCTCTGTGCTCCAGGTGACTCAGCACTGCGCTGTTGAAATAAGCTATGGTGATAGCGTCCTCGGTGGATCGATTTGTCCTGTAGGCAAATTGGTGGGGGTCCAGAGTGGGAGGCAGACCGGCCCTGATGTGCTGACAGACCAGTCTCTCAAAGCACTTCATCACTACAGGCGTAAGTGCAACAGGCCTGTAGTCATTTGGGCTGGACACAGCTGTCTTCTTGGCGATGGGGATGATGGTGGAGGTTTTGAGGCAGGGCGGGACGGTGTTTGATGACAAGGAAAGGTTGAAGATTTTAGTGAAGACTCAGTTCGTCAGCACATGCTCTGAGAACCTTTCCATGTATTCCATCAGGACCTGCCGCCTTCCTGGGATTCACTGACCTTAGAACACACCTCACTTGATGCTCCCTGAGTGTTAGTGTGCCAGTGCTGGGGGCGGGTGGAAGTGGTGTGGCAGCTGAGGGCTTGGTCGTCTCAAAGTGGGCGAAGAAACGGTTTAGATCCTCAGCCAGCGAGGCATCAGTCCTAGATGTCGCCTGGTTATTGCTTCTGTAGTTGGTAATGTGATTGATCCCCTGCCACATTTTTCTGGGGTCGTTGTCAGCAAAATGATCTTCAATCCTTCTTCTATAGGCAGCCTTAGCTTTCCTGATGCCTCTACTCAGGTCTGCCCTGGCTGCCCTATACGCAGCCCTGTCCCCTGACTTGAAGGCAGTGTTGCGGCTTTTTAGGAGGGATTGCACTTCGCTATTCATCCAGGGTTTCTGATTTGGAAACACCCTGACCCTTTTGTTGACGGTGACATTGTCAACACAGTTCCTGATGTACGAGAGTACAGTGTCCGTGTACTCCTGGAGGTTGTGGCTGGAGAATAAATCCCATACAGTTGTTGAGAAGCAGTCCTGCAGTTGAGAGAGGGCTCCTTCAGGCCAGGTTTTTATTGTCTTTGTCTGGGGCTTTGTTTTTCTCAGCAGGGGGGTGTAGGTGGGGGTGAGGGACATGCAGAGGTGGTCAGATCCAGCCAGGTGGGGGAGGGGTGTCGCTCTGAAAGCATGCCTGATGTTTGATGTATGCATCACGTGATAGAGCGGCTGTGGCATGCGGGACCTGTTGGTGGTCTGGATAGCATTTGGAGCTTCGCTAGCAACCCGGCATTTCATCTCCGACAAAGTTATCCCTGAGAGAAGTAAAGCAAGTGTGTAAGTTCATCTCTGAATGTTTGTAAAGCATTCCTGCGTTAAGCTTAACAAACGATATATGGAGCAACTGCCTCTTCTTGCTGCTACTTCAATCATGAAACTGCTGATCGGCTTTTCTGTCACGAGTCCGTCTCTCTTGTTTGTTTTTGGCCCACTTTGCACCAGAAAGAGGAAACCAGTGGATAAACAACAGCAGCACATTTAAGCTTGATCAGCTGTTGCTAGAATGTATTTAATATTACTTTCTACACCAGGATCTTTTTCTACGTAGCTGACGCTGGTAACTGTGCAGGGGCGGATCTAGCAAAGTTTAGCCAGGGGGGCCGATAGGGCATTAATAGGGAAAAGGGGGCAAAGACATACTTTTCTTTCTTATTCTCATTTAAAATGTCTAGCTTTTAATAAATAATTATCTGACACCCAAAGTTTTAATTTGATGTAAAATGAATAGAAGTCAATTACTGTATATAGTGACTGTTAAGTCGAATATATACCCTAGTAAACTATAGTACTTTTTCCTTTGGGAATGTACCATCTGTGCAGTCTGCAATTCTGTTGAAGAAAAATGTTGAATCTATTTAATATTTTAATATATTGAAAAATAATTGATTTCTGTGCATTTTTTTTCACACTGCATCAAATTAAGGTTGATTACGTCGATTAAGCATCATGAGGTGGAGCGTGAGGGGTGGTTCCCTATTTTTTATTTATTTATTTTTGTTGTTGCTGGGAGTTGGAACCCTATTAGTTAGGTTGCTTAATATTTACGCTAAGTACTCTTTAAAATACCAGAATAGGGAGGATGGTGGAGGTTTAAGTTTATTAGATTGATCAGTATTGCTGAACTATGAAATGTATTTTTTTTACATACAGGTATAACAGAATAGCTTTAGTGTAGTTGTTGTTTTAAACTTGAGTTATGAACTTATACAAAATGCAGCAAGATATTTAAAAAAACAGTTTTGTTGATTAAAAAACACTATATCGGATTCATATCGGTATCGGCAGATATCCAAATTTATGATATCGGTATCGGACATAAAAAAGTGGTATCGTTCCATCTCTAATATGTATATGTGTATATATGTTTTTCCTTTTAAATTAAGTTTTTGAATATCCCGCACCATTATATACTGCAGATTTGGTCTCGGGTCATGTTGTTGATGTGAACTGCCTTGTTATTTTTGGCAATAAAAGTTTAAAAAAAAAACCCCCACCTTGGCTGCATTTCTAGGTAAACAGCTGTAAAAAACGTTGTTGTTTGCATAACTCTGTTACTTTTTTGAAGAAGTAACAATATAATTAATTACCCAACATTGGTCATTATATACTGTATTTTGCAGACAGATAGTTACAGGACTCTCTCCCAGACCACAGACTCATACTCATAATACAAGTCAGAGCTTTATAAAAGCTAAAGTTTTGTTTTCAAAATTGGAGTTCAAGTTACTTCCAATAGTGTTAACATACTACATGAACAAGATTTTTTAAAATTTTCATTGTAAGTGGGCTAAAGCAGTTAATTAAAAGTAGTCTAACATAAATGCTGTAATTTTGTTATTTTAATAAACCAGGTAACTTGGATGGATTGGATGCTGGCGTGACCACAGTGCACACGTCTAATGTTGCTCACAGTGGTCCAAGGGACCGCTCAGGGAGTTTTTGTGTTCGCTCAGACACATGAAAAATTAGAGGGAACATTGATCACTAGTAACCTTCACTAGTTCTGTTTCTGTGCTATGATGAACCCTAAATCATTTTTAATACTTAAGTTTTAATGGTGATTTTTTTAACAGACTTTTGTGGATGGGCTTTAACTGACATGTTTGTGTGATGGCTTGAAGTTAGTTCATGGAGATCAGTAGGAGAGAAAAGGAGAAGGGGAATATAAATGGAGGTGTGGCAAGGTGGGAGGACTTAAGGCGCATGCACACATACACGCACAGCCCACCGTGGCAGTCATATATCTTGCTTTTTTTCCTAGATTCCTAGATACTTAACCTTTGCAAAATTGAGGTATCCTTGTACTAAGAAACAAGAAAATCCAATTCGGCTGTAATGCTGGTGCAGTGTTTAGCTCAAGTAAAAAACATTTTGTGTTCTAAATTCTTGTTTATTGGGGCTGTTTGTTTTATTTTGGTACAGGACTTACCTTTTTCAACTACTGGGATTGAAGTGTCATGCTTAGTTCAAGGGGTTTAAAATCAAGTTAAAATTTAGTCTACTTCTTGCTTTTTGATGAACAGTTTGTAAGAGCTTAGACTAAAAGGAATTTCTCTTTTCATGACAGGATGACTATGTGGAAGCTCTGAGTAGACTGCATCTCACAGTGACCAGGGCTTACAAAGTAAACCCAGATATCAGCTTTGAAGTGTTCATTCACAAAGTGGATGGCTTGTCTGATGACCACAAGATCGAGAAGCAGAGGGATATCCACAAACGAACCAACACTGACCTCACAGATGCAGGACTGGAGCAGATACATCTAAGGTTGTGCATCAACTAAAGCTTATAAAGGGATTTTGAGTTTGAGGTTTGGATTAATTATATGCATAGATTTTTTTAAAAAGTGGTATTAAGCAACAGTACTTTTTTGAAGGTCTTTCATAAAATATTTGGATATTGGCTGCATTATTGGGTACTTGTTCATTCATGATTCAATTCAGTTAATTAATAGTTCTTTCCCCTTTTAAACACCTCTTTCAACTTTCAATCTTTTCTTTTTTGTATATTAGTTCAGTTGTTGTGTACATATTTAAAAGCCACAGAATTAATTAACGGTCATTTTGTGCTGATGATGTTTATGTAAATCTGTGACAGTGCTAGATATTACATGTTGGTAAAGCAAAACACCTTGCTATTTCGATTATTGCTCACTAATCAATGGAGAGGTGCATTTAAGTGCTAAAAGGGTTAAATCAGAAGTAAGTTGCAATTTTGGCATCATGAGTTTGGCTGTAAAACTGCATGCTTCTAACAACTTGTTAATCACTAGTCATTAGCTAGTGATATCCTAGATAATCCTCCTTTCTGAAACTGTAATGATCTGAAAAGAGTGACTGAAAACATAATCTCAATAGCAGAGTGTTGACCGAGGTCCATTAGATTTGTATAGGAATGAAAGTATTTTTGCAACGAACTCAACTGTCACTGTCACAACACCCACCAGCCCTGGGTTTGAGGAGGGAGATGACCCACGCATGATCCTGGAAGTCTTCTAAGCCACGCTGGAAGTGTACTTGTGGCTTGGAAGAAAAATGGTCACTCGGCCTGTTGCCTCTGCTTTCTGGGGAGGCTCGGGTAGTGATCTACTTCTTCCTTCCTCAGTTTTGAGGGCATCAGGCAGGTAGTCCTGGACTGACCAGGTACTCAATACGGTATGGATGTAATTAAAGAAAACCGTGAGGAAGGTCTAAAACCCATCTAAAAATGAAATTTAATGTTGCCACCCTGAATCTAAGAAAAAACTGCCTTCTCCACTATGTACGGTTTGTAGCATTTTGTCATACTTCCGCTTGGCTTGTTCAGAACCACAGCCACCTTCCATAACCTCATGGACTGGCTCTTGCGTCCACATGCTGCATATACTGCTGCTTACTTGATGATCAACAGCGACATCTGGGCGGATGATATTTAGTTGAGTGGCTACGGTGCTGGAGTCATAGCCAACCTCAAAAAGTCTGTCTCCCACCGTCCAAACGAACCCCCCAAACAGATAAGACGGGGCAATTGTGGCTCAAGAGTTGGCAGTTCGTCTTGTAATTGGAAGGTTGCCGGTTCGAGCCCCGGCTCCGACAGTCTCGGGTGTTGTGTCCTTGGGCAAAACACTTCACCCGTTGCCTACTGGTGGTGGTCAGAGGGCCCGGTGGCGCCAGTGTCAGCAGCTTCTGTCGGTGTGCCCCAGGGCAGCTGTGGCTACAATGCAGCTTGCCGTCACCAGTGTGTGAATGGGTGGATGACTGAATGTAGTGTAAAGCGCGTTGGGGTCCATAGGGACTAAGTAAAGCACTATACAAATACAGGCCATTTACCATTTTACTACCTCCAGTTTGCGCTTGACTTCATGGAAAAAACAAGCCCTTTAACTGACCTTGCCTGAAAGGGTGTCCTAGATTTGGTCCAGTGAATGGCGCGGTGCCAGGCATGCTCTCTTTGGGGAACCCCTGCCCCGTGCTCCTAACTTTCCCTCCCTCCCTTTCATTCTGCTGATGGATGCCTTGAACAGAGGGTTGGGGGCCGTTTTGTCACAGCAGGTAAGTGAGATCGACCACCCTATTGTGTTCGTCAGCCGGAAGAGGAAGTCCCGATACAGCACAGTGGAGAAGAACAGTCTAGCAATCTTGCAGGCAGTCGACCCTCTTCGTTATTGCCTCCTGGGACGCTCATTCATCCTCTGTTCCGACCATGCCCCCTGCAATGGCTCCACCGCATGAAGAATACCGATGCCTGGGTCACTCAGTGGTATTTGGCTCTCTGGCTATTTAAGTTCAAGTTGGTCCATAGGCGAGGGGTGCAGATAGTCGTGGCTGATTTCCTCTCCTGCTCGCGGGGGTGAGGGAGTAAGCTCATCTGGTTGTGTCCCCGGCCTAAGTTGGGCAGTGGGGTATGTGGCGGGTTGTGGTCTCCGGCTCTGCTGCAGAGGAGCAGTTTTTCAGTTGGTTCAGGGCTGGTGCCAGGGAGGCTGGCATGGCAGCTGGGGCTGATTGAATAATCAGTTTTTCCTTATATCAGGAGATTGTTGGGAACAAGACAGGTGAAAAACTGCACAGCAGTCTGAAAACTAAAATCACTGAAAACAAAATGCCACAAACCCTGTGATACTATGTATGTGTTGGTCACAGTGCGGTTCACTTAAGCAGATGTGAGCAGAGTAATAAAACTTAGGTGTCAACCAAAGAGAAAAAAACCACCCCATTATGCTTTGGAGTTGGTGGTCTCAGCCCAGTTCATAACGAACTCCAGGGTGGTTAGTTTACAGTGTGAACATGATTCCGCCTTGAGCCGACCCAACAATCAGGTGTAGGTTGTAAATTTACCATACCATCTCCGGTATGATGGCGCCTGTGTTCGGCCTTGCTGCTGGTGGCTGCAGTTTCCCTCGCTCTGTTATGCTGCTGTTTCTGACTGTCCTGCTCTCCGTTTTTGTCTCTGATGTATTGCCTGCCCTGATCTATGATCGTCTGACACTACTGTCTATTCGCTCCTCTATGCTGGGCCTGGATATTGCTCCTTCATACAAAGGCTTCTTCCCTCCTCCGCCGCCGGTGTCTGGATATTTGACAGATGTCGCCAACAGCACCCTTTTGGGTCCACACAAATCACGGAGGAGGAGAGGTAAAAGAGCTGGTGTCCAGGTGGAATTTAGACTCCTTACAGTTTGTTTGGAGTTCAATTGGATTTTTCTGTGTGAAAATCAACTGAATTACAGGGAAAAGCTACAAGTTTACAACTTAACTGTTTCAGACCAGAGTAAACAAACTACAGGTTTATAAAAATGCCCTAAAAGACAATGGGCCCTCTGTTGTGGAGCTGCATTTCAGCCAGTGGTGTTGGGGATCTTTTCAATAATTATGGAACTATGAACACAGAAAAGTTCCATCAGATGTTGATCCACAATGCTACATCATCTTCAAAGCATCTAAGTGATAACAGCTTCATTTTTCAGTGTGACAGTGATCTCAAACACACTGCCAATGCAGTAAAAGCATACCCAGATAGAAAAACACACAGTCTCGTGTCCAACGAGAGGGGATCGGATTTTGGATCACTGCTACACGCCATACAAGCAGGGCTACAAAGCTGTCTCACACCCGGCTTTTGGGAAGTCTGACCACAACGCCATCTTCCTCATTCCCCAGTATAAACAAAGCATACGGAGGGAAGAAGTAACCATGAGGGAGGTAAAACGGTGGACTGCCCAATCAGAAGCTACGCTACAGGACGCACTCAACGACGTAGACTGGGACATGTTCAGAGCATGCGCAGTCGACATCAACGAGTTTACAGAAGTAGCAGTATGCTTCGTCAACATGCTAGCGGAGGAGATTATCCCCACTGCGAGAGTCACCACATTCCCAAACCAGAAACCGTGGATGGACAGATCGATCCGCACTGCAGTAAACGCCAGGACCGCCTCCTACAACGCGGGTCTCGCCACTGGCGATATGAGCGCCTACAAAGCGGCCTCATACGGCGTGCGGCGCGCGGTGAGAGATGCCAAACGCTGGTACCGGGAACGTGTGGAGTCCCGCTTCCACCAGGGCGACACACGGAGTATGTGGCACGGACTACGCACCATTACGGACTACAAAGCCAGGGACACTGCGCCGATCAACGCCGACTCTGCATTCACCAACGAGCTGAATCGGTTCTACGCCCGTTTCGAGGTTAGCCAGGCGGCTAATGCTATCTACCGCCTGACTACCGAGGACAGTGACGTCATCAGCGAGAGACCGGTGACCAGCATCGCGGAGCATGACGTCCGAGCGGCACTGAGGAGAGTGAACATAAGGAAAGCGGCGGGGCCAGACGGCATCACCGGCCGTCTGCTGCGCTGCTGTGCTGACCAGCTAGCAGGTGTGTTCACTTACATCTTCAACGAGTCCCTGGCAAAGTCTGTGGTCCCCACATGCTTCAAAAGATCCACCATCATTCCTGTGCCCAAGAACAGCAAACCCTCATCCCTGAACGATTACCGGCCAGTTGCACTGACCTCGGTAGTAATGAAGGTGTTTGAGAGGCTGCTGAAGAACATCATCTCCTCCTCCATCCCAGACACCACAGATCTGCTGCAGTTTGCCTACAGATCCAACAGATCCACAGAGGATGCCATCGCCCACGTCCTACACACCACTCTCAGCCATGTGGACAAGAAACAGGGTAACTATGTGCGAATGCTGTTTGTTGATTACAGTTCAGCGTTTAACACAATAGTGCCCTGCAGACTGTTCACAAAGCTGAGGGAACTGGGACTTAACAGCCGTCTGTGTGCATGGGTGTTGTACTTCCTCACTGGCAGAACTCAGGTGGTGAGGGTGGGCAGGTGCTTCTCCAACAGCATCACCATCAACACAGGAGCACCTCAGGGATGTGTCCTCTCGCCACTGCTCTACTCCCTCTACACTTCAGACTGTGTGGCCACCCACGGCTCCAACACCATTGTGAAGTTTGCTGACGACACAGTGGTGTTGGGTGCCATCTCCAACAACGATGAGGCGGCCTACATGGACGAAGTGAAGAATCTGGCATCGTGGTGCCAGGACAACCACCTCCAGCTGAACGTCAGCAAGACCAAGGAGCTGGTGGTGGACTTCAGAAGGGGTCAGCACAGAGACTACAAGCCCATTATCATCAATGGAGCTCCAGTGGAGAGGGTGCAGTCCTTCAAGTATCTTGGTGTCCACATCTCCTCAGACCTGACATGGGCTGCCCACATTCAGGTCCAGACCAAAAAGGCTAGGCAGCGCCTGTATCACCTACGACAACTGAGGAAGTTCAGGGTCTCTCCAAAGATCCTCAGGATTTTCTATACAGGCGCTGTGGAGAGCATCCTCACACAGAACATGACATCGTGGTTCGGGAACAGCTGTGTGAAGGACCAAAAAGCTCTCCAGAGAGTGATCCGTACAGCAGAACGCTGCTGCAGGATTGCTCTCCCCCCGCTTCAGGACACCTACACCAGGAGATGCCGGACTAGAGCAGCGCAGATACTGAAGGACCCGTCCCATCCTGGCAACAAACTGTTCTGCAATCTGGTAGAAGGTTCCGCATCATCCGGGCAAGGACAGAGAGACTCAAGAGGAGCTTCTATCCCCAAGCCATCCGTGCCCTAAACACACACACCCACCCTCTCACATCATCTATAATTGACTGAGACAGGACTCTTCCAAACACTCTAAACCAAGGCACAATGTACATTTCAATTCCTTTAATTTTAAATATGTTTATATTGTCTATCCTGTAAAATAGTCAGATGTCTATTCATATTAATGTACAGAATTCACCTGCTTGCTGCTACTACTGCACATTCACCCAGTGTATATACTATATGTAGATATATATAATGTTCTTCCTCCACCCCCCCCAACTTTTGCACATGTCGAGGAGCGTGTCAGGCTACATTTCACTGTGTGTTATACTTGTATAACTATGCATGTGACAAATAAAGAACCTTGAACCTTGAACCTTGGAACTTTATCAGTCATGGATTGGTCTGCTCAGAGCCTGAAACTCATCATCAAGCAGTGTGGGATCATCTTAACAAAGAAAACTTTGTGCCTTCATTACCCATTGTTGTGCAGGTGAAGCCAAAGGCAAGGTGTGCTTCATTATATTTTCTAGTCTTTGGCTTGGAAGGAAGTTGGTTTGGAAGCATATTTGGCGATGCTTCATCTTCCACTTTGTGTTTGTGTGGGAGCCCTGTCAAAAACCTGTCCATTATGCTAGCAGTGTAGAAGCAGCTACCACTACTATTTGTCTTTTTTTTTATTCATACCACGGCCCCCTGCAATGGCTGTGCGCCCCCCACTTTGGGAACCACTGCGATATAGTAAACTTCAAAAACTCTACAAAAAAATCCAGCACTGTCTTGTAGAAATTATCGATAGTTCAGCTTTTCTCTCAGTGACAGTACGCTGCCATAATGAATCTCTCCTCAGAGCAAGCAAGACTCACAGCATCTAAATCCTCCCTTGCATCCAAATAGGGAGGTTTTTCCTAGTTTAAGACTTTTTCCTCTGTTGTGGCAATGCCACTGTCTTCCAGTTCAAAGAGAAGTCAATTATTTATAGTATGCTTTTGAATGTGTCTCATACACCATTCAATTCCTTCTCAGTGGAGATGTCAGGGTCCAGGAGTTTCAGTCTATCCACAACCTCAGATTTGTAAATTCAGAAATTCCTCCATATTAGACATATTCCGCCATAGTTAGTGTAGCATAGTATATTTAACTGCAAAGTGACAATGGTGTGTATAAGAATTTCTTGTATTTATGTATTATTCACATTATTTTATTGTATAATGCCTTAGTGCCACTGAATTTTAGCATGTCTCACACTCATGCAGTTAGACAGATGGTGGGGGGTCCGGTAAGGAAGTTGGGGGGAAGCAGACAACTCCACAGGAAGAATCTTTTGTCTCTTCGACGACTCTGGGAGGTAGCAAGTAGGACTGGGCAATATGACCCAAAATTCATATCTTGATATTTTTTAGCTGGATGGCAATATACGATATATATCTTGATATTTTAGGTAAGAAAAAAAAGAGTTCTTAGTCAAAGCTGTGTCCCAGATGTCACACAGGTACATCTGTTATGCACAAAAACAAACAATGTTGTTTTTGTGCATAACAAAAAGCTCACAATTGTGGAGTCAAAATGTAAACTAAAAGATGCTGAGCATGATAACAAAGACAGACAGATTTCAGAGCTGCTCTATTCCCAAGTTCTACTGGGTGACTGACAGCCTGGAGTTTGAAATCCGCTCCGTAACCATGTCTCTTAATAGGTGCCATTTATGGTCCTTATACACACACAATACGGTAATATTACGTTGAAGCACAGTACGTATTGCTCCGCGAGGCTCCAGACCACGGTAGTCGTAATGCTCCAACAATCCATCAAGCAGTGCAGCTCCGTAGCTTAGCAAAGTCGTACTAAAACATTTTTTGACAGATTGCTGAGCGCCGTGTACCACATAAAATCAGTTCGCGGAAAGTAAGCACAACCAGAATTCATACATAAGGCGCACTGTCGATTTTTGAGAAAATAAAAGGATTTTAGGCCGTGCAGCCCCTGCATGTCGTTAGCGCGGTTAGCGCGCTAACACGTTGACGCCGTCCAGCCCCACGCACGGAGCGATCCGCGGTAACTCGTTAACAGAGATTTGCCGTGTCCATCTTGGTGTTGCCTGCAGGTGAAGCTATGGGGGAGGGGGAGTTGTGTTCAGAGGCCCAGTAACGTTGCGTAGAGACAAAAGTGGACGAAAGAGAGGCAAACTTGCGGCTCCACAAGTATAATTATAACGTAACATATACTATATCGATATAAACGATATTGTCTTATAGCTCGTATAAAAATATATAGATCTTTTTTAAAAAAACTCGATATATCGAGTAGCAAGGGAGTGTGAACCTTAAGGTGTGAAACAGCTGTGTACTGCCTTTTGTTCCTGGTGAAGGTATTTAACTGAGAGCCATGCTAGGCTCAGGGAGACTCTGCTGACCGTCTGCCCCGCGATCATGCAGGCTCTCCATCAAGCTTGGTTGTCTGTTCTTTGTTTTGATTAAAGAATGTTAGCTACCGCTCACCGCTTGTCTGCAGGCTTTACTTAATGGAAAACTTCCACAACAGGTGCTTTTCAATGCCTTTTATATAGGAATAGAACCAGAACACAAGCAGTTGGAAACCCTGTGTATCCACCCATTTTTAGAGGAATGTTTTTTTGTTAAACCTCCTAACACTGACATATGAATCATTCAAGCACAAAACATCTTCTAACTCCAGGTATAAATTAATGTTTTGTCTACACATAACTGATAACTTGGCAAGAAAGCAATGTTAAATGGTATCTTTACCAGGCACTGCAGTGAACCACTGAACCTACAAAAAGATTGTTTGACAGGAATAATAGTATTCACTGACAGACTGGCCCTGGAACAGTGATAGAAATCTGCTGCCATCTGCAGTATGATGAAGATGAAATGAGGGTGGACGTTTCAGCAAGACAATGATCCCAAACACAGCCAAGGAAAATCTATAGGTTTCAGAGAATGGCCCAACCAATGGCCAGCCTAACCTGAATGTAGCTGAAAATCTCTGGCAAACAGCTAAAGCTCAAATTTCATAGAAGAGGCCTACAGAACCTTCAGGATTTGAAGACTGATTGTATAGAAGAATGGGGCAAAATCATACCTGCGCAATGCATACAACTAGTTTACTTGAAGCTATCACCAACAAAGGCTTTTTTAGGAAGTCTTAAATACATTTCAGTAAGGTTTCCGCCTCATTATTACACATAACTTAATTTATGGACATATATGGTTTGATTTCTTTGCATGTGTTGATTGGATGGGTTGTTACCAGCTTCTTTTTAAATTGCAGAAACTGCAATTATTGGATCTTGAAACTCTTTTGATTTGGTTCAGTTTGATTCAATTTTATATGAAAACACTCACCTCAAGGTGGTTTATATTGTAAGGTAAAGAATACAATATTAGAAAGAAATCCCAACATTGATATAACCCCCTATGTGTAAGCACTTGGCGACAGTGGGAAAGACAAATTTCTTTTCAATAGGAAACACCTCACAGAAATAAACTCAAGTGGTATATAAACACACAGACTAAATATAGGTGAGTGAAGAACACTAAGTGCATTATAGGAAGCCCCCAACAGCTTAAGCCTTTTGTAGCATAACTAAGGGAGGGTTAAGGGTCACCTGACTAACTGTATCCTTTATCAAAATAAAAACGTTTTATGCCTAATCCTAAAAGTAAAGAAGGTGTCTGTCTCCCTACTGTCTTTTCAAACTAAGAGCTGCTTCCATAGTAGAGGGCCATACAGCTGAAGGCTCTGCCTCCTTTCCTAGATTTGAAAACTCTAAACTGCTGTCTTTTTATTAATGGGTAAAAAAAAACCCAGTTCTGATTCATATTTCTCTTTCTAACCCTGCAGCTTTTATTTAACCAGCATATATGACCACTCCATATTTGAGGCCTTCAGCAAAGTGGTCCAAAAGCTCATCCCACAGCTGCCAACGCTGGAAAATCTGCTTAACATCTTTATATCTGTGAGTAGTTCGCTTTTCTTGCACACAAACACACTTACAGCATCACTGAGTGAACAGCATGCAACTGGATTATTGTAATGGTCTTTTTACTTGTCTCAGCAAATCAGCTCTGGATCGCCTTCAGACTGTGCAGACTTTTAACTGGCACAAACAAGAGGTCACACATTACTCCAGTTCTGGCTTCTCTTCATTGGTTGCCAGTAAATTTTAGGGTTCATTTTAAAATTTTAGTCGTAACTTTTAGAGCTCTTCATGGTGAAGCTCCCCAGTACATCTCTGACCTGTTGAAACCTCATGCTTCATAGGTCTTAGACTTAGGTCTTCAGGTCAGAGGTTACTGTTAGTCCCACGTCCTAGGTTCAAAACACGTGGGGTTCAGGCTTTTCAGGCACTGGCACCAAGGCTGTGGAACTGTCTTCTGTTGTCTTTATGCTGTCTAGACTCCACTGACTCCTTTAAAAAGCATCTGAAGACATTTTTATACAAACCAGCTTTTAATTAATTTTGTCATTATTTTATATTATTTTATTTATAATTCTGGTTTTATTGTGGAGCACTTTGTGATTTTTATCTGTGAAAAGTGCTATATAAATAAATTTTACTTACTAACTTACTAAATGTTTAGGTCAACCCTCTGTACAAACCTAATGTGTGCTTTTCTGATTGAAGTTGGAATGTGCAGGTAACTAAATTTTTATGTGCATGCCTTTTTGTGCTTTACAACAGCCACTAGATGGTAGAAATGTATAAGGTCAACTTCAGTGTACGATGGCCTATCCTGCTGAGAACCAACCTATTCATTTATCTCCTCTGTAATGGACCATTTAAAGAAAAAAAAAAGTCTTTGGACTTATTTGAGCTAAATACTAAGTCCTGATGTGCTTAAGAGGACATCTCGGGCTTTCCACTGATATTTGATGTGTTATTTGGGCTCTTTTTGCTCTAAAGAGGAAGGGAATTATAAAAAAAAGTTCAATGGGAAAATTATTTTTTCCTCTGTTTTTAGGAGGATATTAAAGAGTCAAAAATCATTACTTGCTGTATCAGTGCTTATTGTTGAGCTATTCACAGCTCAGCTCTTTCATTCATGAGTTTTCATCCAATCTAAGTTAAAACTGAAAAGTAATTGCAGCATTGTGCTTTTTGTGTCTCAGTATTGCTATTTATGGACTTAGCTGGATCTTTGGCCTAATTGTCATTCTGCCAAATGAGGTAGGGACTTCTCTGAGGTCCTGGGAGATGCATCGGAATATAAATATCTATGTGTAGAATGAACAGTTCACCTTAGACAAATCTTTCTGCCTTTGCTATATTAGTTAGCACAGGTAATACTACTGGGTTAAACCAATGTCCTCGAACGGGGGAGAGCATAAACTTTCAGCTCTAAAGTAGGGTTTATACAGCTTTTCCTGGTAAGATATATATTCTATTATGACATTACACAACTTCAAAACATCTTTCTGCAGCTTCATTAATACCCAAATCCAGAATGAGGACAGATGAAGGTTTTTGTCTGTGTTTTATTTATTTATTTATTCATTTATTTATTTATTTTAGGGATTTAAGCATTATTAATTTCCAAGCATTTTGTCTTGAGCACTTGAAACAAAATGTAGTATTATTGTTGGAGTTGATAAAAATCTATTTTCTTTGATTTGCTTAAAATTCCAGAGCGTGTAAGCTTTGAAAACGTCTGTGATATCTGCGGGATGATAGTATCTCTAGCAGCTGAGAAAAGCTGCACACTGTGAATAGGCCTGCACACAGAGATATGTAAATGTCAGATCTGACAAACTGAATGAAAGTAAGTCTTACTTCCAGCATTACACGGGGTCTTCACTGGACACCATGGGGTATTTCTGTGTGTATAAGGATCAAATATTCATGTCATCCCATTAAGATTTTTGGCTAAAAAGACAAACTCACATGTTGTCTGTTTACCCTGCCGTCAAATAAATGTATAAAAAAACAGTAAGTTATTGAATAAAATTAGTGTTTGATCCTCTATAAACCAGTAGGAATTCTTACTCCTAGACTGGCTATGTGCCCATGTGACAGTTACTCTTGATCTGAACTCATGTGTAGCACAGAATCAGTTTCTTCCTTTTCCAGGTATTTACCAATAGTGGTTATTACCTGGTTGACTGCTGTCTGTTTGCGATCTAAATGTTTTAGCAGGTTAAATAAGTATTGAGCATGTCACCAACTTTCTAAGTAAATATATTTCTAAGGGTAGTATTGACAAGAAATTGTCACCAGATGTCTCTAATAACCTATCCAATCCACACATGCAAAGAAATCAAACCACAGATGTCCATAAAATATGTGTAATAATGAGAATTGACACATGGATAAATCATTGAACTTTGTACAAAAGGCTTGGTTGGTTATTTTTTTGCCTATTCTTCCACACAAACAGTCTTCACATCCTCAAGGTTCTTTGGAACCCATCTATGAACTTTCAGGTCAGGCCTGGCCATTTGCTGGGATATTCTAGCAGCTTTACTTTCTTTCTCTGAAACCTACAGAGAGTTTCTTTGGCTGTGCGTTTGGTATCATCGTCTTGCTGAAACATCCAACCTTGTTTCATCTTCATCATCATGGTAGAGGGCAGCAGATTTGTATCAAGAATGTCTCGGTACATTTTTCCATTTATTCTTCCTTCAGTTATATGAAGTACGTGTACATGAAGTACACACTGCCATATGTTGCAAAATGGCCCGACACCATGATATTCCCACCTCTAAACTTCACTGTTGGTATAGTGTTCTTGGGTTGATATGCAGTGCCTTTTGACCTCCAAACATAGTGTCATGTGTTATTATAGTATCCAAAGAGTTCAATTTTGGTCTCATCTGACCAGACTGTATTCCCCCAGTATTTCACAGGCTTGTCTAAATGTATTTCAGCAAACTTTAAACATGCTTTTTTATGTTTTTTATTCAGCAGTGGGGGTCTTGTGTGATGAGTATGCATACAGGCCATGGCAGTTGAGTGCATTACTTATTGTTTTCTTTATTGTTTTTCTATAATTATTTTACAATTGTAACTGCTGATTTCAGGTCTTCCTGTAACTGTCCACAAGTGGTCCTTGGATCAGAGACAACACTTTTGATAATTCTTTTCACTCTTCTGTCTGTAATGTCACTCCTGGTCCCCTCCCAAATTTCTCAGACTTTTTATCTGATTTAGTTCTCAGCTCAGGTAAAATCATTATTGTGGCTGATTTTAACATCCATGTAGATGCTAAAAGTGACAGCCTCAACATGGCAGTTAATCTGTTATTAGACTCAATTGGCTTCTCTCAAAATGTAAAAGAACCCACCCTCCACTTTAATCACACTCTAGATCTTGTTTTAACATATGGCATAGAAACTGAACATTTAACAGTTTCCTGAAAACCCTCTCCTGTCTGATCATTTCCTGATAACATTTACATTTACAATAATTGAATACACAGCAGTGGAGAGTAGACTTTATCACAGTAGATGTCTTACTGAAAACGCTGTAACTAAGTTTAAGAATATAATCCACCCACTGTTATCATCTTCAATGCCCTGTACCAACACAGAGCAGAGCAGCTATCTGAACGCTACCCCAACAGAGGTCGATCATCTTGTTAATATATTTGACTCTTCACTACGTACGATTCTGGATACTGTAGCTCCTGTGAAAACTAACGCCTGAAATCAGAAGTACTTGACTCCTGGTATAATTCTCAAACACGCATCTTAAAGCAGATAACTCGTAAGCTGGAGAGGAAATGGTGTATCACACTTTTAGAAAATCCATCATTTAGCCTAGAGAAATAGTTTGGAGAAAAGTGGGCCAAAAATTACCCAGTAAGGCTGTTTTCTTGCAATATCATTGTAATGAAAAGTTATTATTTAGTTTTAGTCAGAACCAGGCAGTGGAGCAATGCTCATCACCTGTCTCTATCCCACATCCTTCAAAGAGTAGCCCTCATCGCAGCTATTTATTCCCATGACAGTTACAATACACATCACAGCACAACACAAGCACCTTCCACTGTAAAACCCCCCAATGGTTCTAAAACAAGGCACTATGTGTATGTATGTGTGTGCACCTGTATGCATGTGCAGGAACGCGTGTGTGTGTGTGTGTGTGTGTGTGTGTGTGTGTGTGTGTGTGTGTGTGTGTGTGAGAGAGAGAGACCTCCTGCTCACCAAAAGGATCATAAAAGCAGGAAGCTTACAACAGAAGAAACAGATCTTCCAGAGAGAATGTATCTGCAATAAAACCTCCCCCAGCACAGAGTGGCTGGAGAGGTGGTCAGGATCAAAGGAATGGCTTTGATCCTATAGTTTGAACCAAGACTTTACAAATTTAAGAAACACAATGACAATATTCAACAATTTGACTTAACATTATGCCATTTCAATTTTTATGGTATCAGATCCCTAACCCTTTTATACATTTTAGAGAACTGTAGTTTTTGCATTACTACCCCAAACTTCGTAAGTGAGCCAAAAATGGATCGCATTAATGTCCTATGGAATTTCATGAGAACTTTTTCTCCTTATCAACTGTGACTGTCAGGAATATATATTTTGTGGGCAACAGTGTCACCTCTTCAGAAGACTATTTTATACAGTAGGAATTAGCAGACACCATACATTTGGCATTGAGACAGCAATTCATAATACGTGCCTGAAGCCTCAAGTGTGGCCTGAAGACCTTCTGCATTTCTGATGCCCACATGAACTATGCAATATTCATAACAGTTCACACAGGGAGACAAACAACGGAAGACGTTCAATATAATCTGGGGAAAGAATCTGTCCAGTTGTGCAGTAGATTCAGAACGACAAGATGCAGCATCACCACAGATAACTTTCCTCCAGTATGCCCATTGAGCAATGTCTGCTGGAGACACAAATGTGGAGCCTCTACAATAGGACAAGGCAGACATCATTCCGTGATGAAGGCTTCTGAGTCCATAGAGGTTCCTAGGAAAGAGTTTGGATTGACAGCAAGAAACACTTGGTTTCCATACAGTGAAGGGACAAGGTAAAAATATGATAAATAAAATCTAATACAAATGATTATTCTTAACAAAGTGTAACCTAGCAGGCTAACCTTCAAGCTCCCAGGTCCTGTACAGTATCTTAGCTGTTCCTAGGACTGCACTCTTCTTCTCTGAGCCCTTGGAACTTCTCCTGCTTCTCGTGTTCCTTCTTCCTGATGTTCCTGTCATTCAATATAAATCGCCTTGAGGCGACTGTTGTTGTGATTTGGCGCTGTATAAATAAAATTTAATTGAATTCGGTATCGCTACGTCTGTCACTATGGGGGGGAATGATGAATGCGCAATGTTTCGCCAACTGCTGCCCCTGTAAAAGACAAAAAAACCCAATCACCAATCTTCCTATAGACTGTGTGAGAAAGAGAGGGAGAGAGAGGGAGAATGCCGCCCTCTTTGTCACAAATGCACTTGATAATGATGGTGGGAAAAGTATTCTGGTGTTAATAAGAACTCAGCAGTGCAGTTGTCTTTTTCCTTTGCTTTTTTGGGGGGGACAGCCTTTTAGTACTCTAATTGTTAAAGCAACTATTCTGGCTGCATAGAATGGTCATGAATAGAATGGTATTTATATAGAAAAAAATCCATAACTACTTTTCTCTTTTGTTTCTCTGCCTCTGATTTCAGAACTCGGGTATTGAAAAGGCCTTCTTGTTTGACGTAGGCAGCAAGATTTACATCGCTACAGACAGCAGTCCAGTAGATATGCAGACGTATGAACTGTGTTGTGATATGATTGACGTGGTCATTGACATCTCCTGCATTTATGGGTAAGTCAGTAGACTTTCTCTTAATGCCACAAGCTCAATGTTCACATTCTCTCCTGTAATCTCTCTCTCTCTCTCTCTTCAGAAACTGATGAGAAAGAATTGGAGTTCTGAAATTAGGCCGTCAGAGTAAAATTCCAGCTCTTCTCAAAGTTAGAATTGGAAAGTATCTATTTGTCTCATGAACAGAGGGAATTGACATTATATATTACAGATCTCATTGTGATGTAAAACCCAAAGGATGGTAGGTACTCCTGATTCCCTCATAGATCAGAAAGGATATGCTTTGTATTTAATTATCAACCCAGCTTGAACCTGTGTCCTAATCTAAATTTGTGTAATTAGAGGTCAGGTTTCGGCTAAAATCAGACCGAACAGTAGTTGATACATTTCTGATGGACTGGCAGTGGAAGAGAGAGGAGAAGAAGCGCTACTGACCTGCTTATAATGTATTATTGTATATAGAGATTAAAAGAAACAAAATTCATCCTTAAACAGTTAAACATTACAATCCATGAAAAAATTTGTGTGTTTAAATAAAACCTGTCCTTTGTGACAATCAAAATTGTGATCTGAAATCACCTCAGTACCAAAGACATTTAGTTTTTCCAAGAACAGCTATATAAAATCTCTACTTGAATCTCTACAAGAATCTCTACCTCTTCTTGTTCGTGTCAATCTTTTGGCTGTTTATATATTTCTATTTCTATTTATGTTATTTCAGTTATTACGTTATATGTGGTATAGTATGACAATGTCTAAGGCAGGAAAAAAGGAAAGAGGAAGGGAGGGAAATATAATATTGTGGCGAGCTCAGATAAGGAGGAGACAGAGGTATCGTTTGGTCTTGCTCCCCGCTAGCTAGCCAGGTAGCACAGCCGTTTATTAGCATTCACGGACAAACACACACCACGCTAACACATCCGCTCGGCACACCTCTAGTGTAACAACAACAACAACAACAACAACAACACAAAATGGCGCTCTCCCCACCCAGAAACACACAGTCGCAGAGAGAGAGCGTCACCTGTATACATGGCAACATAACAACAGAACATAGCTGTCAGAACAAAACCCTAAACAGCCCTGACCCGCTACATAGCCCCCACGTAAGGGGTCAGTCGTCCCCGACAACCCCATTACCCAACACAAAGTCCTGCAAATGTCCAGGTGTCTTCTTTCGACGCACTGGCCGATCTCGACCGGCGGGGGAAGAGTCACTCGGATCAGAACATGGGGTGCCACCAGCATCCCCTGCCCCGGCAGCTGCTGGAGCGAGCGATCGGTACGGTGAGAGTCTGTCCTGGTGCAACACACCGTGCGCCCCGGGCCCGGCATGCGGACCCGTTACACCACTTCTGTTAGCCGCTCCACGACCTCCCCCGGCCCTTGCCAGTGGCTGCAGAGCTTGGGGGACACTCCTCTCTTGCGAACTGGGCAGTACACCCAAACCTTGTCGCCAGGCACGAAAGCTCCCCCTCGGCACCTGGTGTCGCAGGCTCCTTTCAGTCGAACTCCGGAGCTGGCCTTAGCCTGGTGGGCATAGTCGTGAACCACCCGTGGCCGCTACCTCCGCCTCCTGTAGCAGTCCATGGCCGCCAGTTCCCTGACTCGGTTATGGGGAAAGGCCCTAGGACGTCCACTCCCACTCTCTCCATCGATGCCCCCACCAGATACTGCTGCACGGGGGCAGTGGGGCGTTGAGTGGGGCCTTTCCGTGCCGTGCAGGTGTCACAGCAGTGCACGTGAAGTTCCACATCCCGTCAAGAACCAGGCCAGTAGAACCATCCCCTGAGACGGCGGAGAGTTTTGGCATTCCCATAGTGGCCGGCCCCCACCAAGCCGTGGACAAGCTCGAGCACCTGCAACCGCAGCGACCGAGGCACCAACAGCTGCAGGAGATCTCTGCCCTGACCGGGGGACCGCAATCTCCGGTATAGGATGCCGTTGTGGGTCTCGAGATTGTTTTACTGGGAGTAGTAGGCCTTCACCTCGAGCCCCTGTCCTGACACCCCTGTCCAGCCTGGGCGTCGTGCCGCCTCCAGCCAGGCCCCCACCTGAACCAACATCACATCAGCCTCCTGCTCCCACTTCAGCTGCTGCATGGTCAACGGGAGCCATCCCCCTCCGCTAGCTGGGCCTGAGCAGTAGCCACGCTCAGTGCCTCCTGGGCCCGCTCCTCCTGTCATTTCGAGAGGGGCAGCCGGTGTGAGCGCAGACGGATGGGCTGAGCAGAGTCAATGGTGCGCTGAACCAGCCGCGTCTGCCTGCAGTCTTTGCCACTAGTGGCAACAATGTCCACATTCTCGTCCAGGAGGTACCTCAACCGCTGCCGCTGGTCATCAACAGCTTGGGTTGTCTTGGTCGAGGGAGGTTTGTCTTGCCTAGAGGCTGGGCCTGAGGCGAGTAGAGATGGTCCAGAGCCACCGGCGTCCGAAGTCTGTTGAGTGGCACCTGCCCGGCTTGTCTGTCTCTGATCCCCTCCGTTCCCTGCTTTTGACCGCACTGGAGGGCCAGAGTCTCTGTACCAAGAGTGATAGCCAGCTTCGCGGTGTTAACGCAGGCCCCCAGCGGGTCGGCAGATCAAGGCCGATGATGCACTGGTCTTGGATGTCAGCAAGCCAGAAGTCATGCACCAGCTCCAGATCCGCAACGGTTTCTTCCCCAGCATGTCAGTTCTCTCCCCCATCACCGTCATCAGCTGGGTGTCGATGGGCGACCAACCCATCACAAGCAGCCCAGACGTTCCAGGGAGCACACCAGGTCATATTAGGGAAATGGTAGACCCCGTATCCACCAGGGCCCGGCAGGGCTGGTCCTCATCACAGCAGCTCAGGTAGAGTCCCTTGAGGTGCCCGACTAGGCCCACCACCGTGCATCGTTCTTGGAGGGGGGGCAGGAAGCTGGAGCGGTGGTCCCCTCACTACACCCTCTTGTTTCCCTGAGGCCACATAGTTCTGGTCTTTGGTGCGGGCGCCAGGCAGTTGCGCGCCACGTGACCAGGCTCATTGCACCGGTAGCAACGGTCAGTCAGTCGACGGGGACGCCTCCAGGGCAGAGGGCTGCAACTGGCATATCTCTGGCGACCTCCCCCTCCCTGTCGCAGTCTGCGGTTCTGATTTGGGGTAGTTTGGGGGTCACCTGCTGGTTAGGTCGCGAGGCGAGCACCAGCTCTGCCCTTTCAGCCTCAAGGAGTGCCTCACGGAGAGTTTGAGGCATGGCCAGGCGGACGTGTTGGTGTAGTCACTCTGGAAAAAGTCCTCGCAGAAAAGCAGCTCCTCACAGGCTGCTGCTGGGAACTCCGGGTAGCCACGACGAGCATACAGCAACACATCCGATGCAAAGGAGCCCAGGCTCTCCCCCGGCCGACGGCTCCGGTTGGTCAGCTGCTCCCTGCTTCATGGGAGGCAGCCCATGAAGCATTGTCCTAGCGTCCGCGGTGCGCTCGCGCCGTCGGGACCCGTCGGGGGACTTACATGGCCGCTCGCTTCCTCTCTCTTCAATCGTCAGCTTCCCAGGCAGCGAATGCTCTCCTCGACGGCTTGCTCCAGCCTCCAAATGTCTCCCTCCCTTACGGCAAGGGTGAGCTATCCCACTTCTGACACCAATGTGGCGAGCTCAGACAAGGAGGAGACAGAGGAGCACAGCCGTTTATTAGCATTCACGGACGAACACACACCACGCTAACACACCCGCTCGACGCATCTCTAGCGTAACAACAACAACAACACAAAATGGCACTCTCCCCACCCAGAAACACACAGTCGCAGAGAGAGAGCGTCACCTGTAACCATGGCAACATAACAACAGAACATAGCTGTCAAAACAAAACCCCAAACAGCCCTGACCCGCTACAATGTGATATATAAGGATAAAGTACAAATAGAAATGCATGTATCGCCAACTGCTGCACCTGTTAGTAAAAACAAACATACAGCACCTGGAACACAAAACTTTGAATATGCACAGATACATAAGTCAACAAAATCGTGTAGTGTAAGTGTGAATGTGAGAGAGACAGAGAGAGTGTGGGTCTCACAAAAGTACTTGATTGTGAGGCTGGGAAGCTGGAATAACCACCCCCCAGAAAGCTTACTGTCACCCACCACGAACCACACATGCACACACATTGTGTGGTAATATGTTGTGAACTGTAATGACCTAAATAAAAAGGAGGGTTGGGGGGAGGGTCGCCGCAAAGCCGCAAAGCCACATAGATGGCCTTACACACTGTGACCAACAAATTGTCTTTAAAAACAATCCACTGGTTTGTTCTTCAGAGGAGGATGTTTAGTTTACAAGTGACAAAGTAATTTTGAATGCTTCATTGTCTCATTTGCAAATATTGTCCTTTCTTTCTGGCCAGACACGTGGCAGCACTTCTGTAATTTTGTTCGTATTTAACCAAATAAAAAAGCATTAATAAGTGTACACAGTACTTATTGACTCTCTCACTGAACTAACACAGCCAGTCCCTCAACATGCTTGTGGTTCCTGCTCATATTTCTTTTGTATCACATAATGAGGGTGGGAAGTAAGGAATAACACCCCTCCAGAAGCCACGGGCAGTCGACAGACCATTCATTCAGTCACTCATTCACTCTCACTTACCTACCATACAATGATGCATAAAGACATGCACACACAATATCTGGTATTATGTTGTGAAATGCAGTGCCCTAAATAAAAAAGGGGGGCTGGGGGGGAGGGGAGGTCACCGCGCAGTATAACCAGCAAAGCCACATGAATAGCCTTACACACTGTGACCAACAATTTTTCTTTAAAAATAATCCACTGGTTTGTTCTTCAGAGTAGGATGCTTCATAGTCTCATTTGCCAGCTTCTCACCCATCACAGCAAATAATTTTCACACTAATGCTAAATCACTGGTTCGCTCCTGTTTTTATCATTTAAAAAATATTGCTAAGCTGAGTCCCATTGTACCACGCTCAGAATTAGAAATGGTCATCCATGCATTTGTCTCATCTTGTTTATATTATTGT